TAGCCCAAGCTTGCCCCATAAAAGATATTCTTCACGATTTCTGAAATGAGAACCTCACTAATGAAAAAAAGTTGTTCTTCACCATCTAACAGATTAGAAGTATTGAGGTAAAGAGAAACAAACTTGCGATGTAAACGCGTAAAGCATAGACAAACAAAAAAACATGCAGTGTCAGTCAACTAATGCCCCAAACTTTCTATCATTTAACTTGCGATGTGAAAGCGTAAAGCATATGGAAACAAAAAGCTAGCAGTGCCACTTAACATCCGAACTTCCTATTATTGAAAACAGAAGTCCAAAATGATGATAAAGATATTCTTCTTCGTCCGGCTGATCAAAACCAGAACTTACACTGCCTAAGCCAAGGTTGCTCTCTAAAAAAATATCAAGTCCTCAAGACATAAACTAATCTTCTGAGAATAAGGAAGAAGAAAATTGAAACGACTCTGTACATAAACTTGTGCATTGCTTCAGGCAGACTAATCAAAGGACTAGAGAATTAGCTTAAAATACCGTTATCAATCACAGAACTGAACTGAACTGAACTGACCAACTTACAGTTAAGCTAACCAAAGGTATGTACCAGATACTGTCCACGGCCACTCTTCGAACCGAAGCTTCCAAATTGAAAAGAAACCTATTCCTTGCCATCTACCAGATCAAAATTCATAAAAGAAGAATTGGACAGAAAAAATCATACAGTGCCTAAGTTGGACACCAAAAATCTTACAGTACATATCTCAAGACTGCTCAGGAAATGATCTTCAATCTGGTATATCAAAACCATAGAACACCTATCAGAATCAACGGCAGCACTACTACCAGGACTAATCCCATTAACCATCTGAAAATATCAACAGCGAGCAATGCCCTAAGCATGTCCAAGAATGACCAAATCACATAAGGTCAGCGTTAACATACCAGATACCCCAAGAATTGTGTGTTTGGGATCCAATTAAGGTACAACCAAAAGAAGTCAGATCAGCAGAGCACAGAATGATAAAACTGATCTAAAGACAGATCTAACTCCAGCACAGTCAGAACCCTATAGTACAATCAAAACAATTAGACGGTTATTAGTTCAACGATAGCATACCAAATAATTATAACAGTTATGAATTAGGGCCACGACAAATAGAATGGTTATAAGAATGTTAGCAGATTTATATTTAACACGCCAGGCACCCCCAAAAAAAAGAAAAAAAAAGAAAAAAAAGAAAAATAGATGAAATTGATCTAAAATAGAGATCCAAATTGCACAAGAACAAACAAAATAAGTAGAAAGATTGTGAAGTTAGCATTAGAACACATGTTTATCCAATAATCAACGATCAAGTTAACCAATTTATGGTAAAATACTAAGCCAATTTATGGTAAAATATTAACGAAAAGGACTGGTTAATTCGATGAACAACAATCCAACATAGATATCCTACATACATTCGGCATCCAGATCCAAACTGCACAAGACAAATCAAAATAAGTAAAAAGAATATAAGGTCAGCGTAAGCAAAACTAGAGTCCTAACTCCATAATAATCAGTACCTTACATATATTAAAGATCCAAATAACACGAGATGAATCAAAACAAGAAGAAGATAAGGTCAGCGCTGGCAAATCATAGGCAAAACCTGATAGGCCAGAGACATAGACAACGGTAAAATCAATATAAAAGAGAATAATCATGATCGAGATCTAAATCGGACATCATAAAACAAAATAAGGAGATCGATAAAAATTAAAGAGCCAATAACCCGTCAGAGGTTAGAATCAACCCAAAAAAACCTAATAAATCGTTTGATCTAAGATCAACAGAAGATTCAGTGATCAGAAGTTACCAGAAAACTAAAGATCCAAATCTAATCTTTAAAATATCAACCAAAAAACCAATAAAGGTCAGATTAATAGAATAGAAAACGATAAAATCGATCCAAAATTGAGATCCTACCTCAATAACGATCAGTGCCCTAAAATTATTCAAGATCGAGATCCAAATCGCCCTAACGTATCATCCAAATCGCCCTAACATATCATGGATCAATAATTCCAGAATAATTAGTGGATACATGATCGAGATCGAAATCGCACGACGAAACGAAAAAAAGAACACAGAGCTGGCCTCAAATCGAAAGCTACCAGAGAACGACCGAAAAAAAAAAAGGAAAGGACGAGAAACAATGTGGAGATGTTCTGTACATTAAATAGAAGATTTAAGTCGGTTGAGGGGATGGTCGGTTTGTGGTCGGCGAGGTAAGTGGAACGCGGTTTCTATAAAACACACGAGTTTCCAGCGGCCCGGGTAGCATGAGGAGGTCAAAGTTGAGAAGTTTCCAGTAATTATTCTGTTGGGATTCCTTGTGCGCTGCCGAGGCCCGAGTAGGATAAGGTCAAAG